TCAGTGAAGATCTACAGGTGGAGACAGTCTCGCTTCATGTTTCACTCCAATCTCCCTGTGATTCCATATTATCCTCCACGTTACTCAGACACTTTGGGGACAGGGACTCTCCAACACGTATACAATTACGAGGTGTGCAGGACGACTGACTCCAGAAAGAGTGACTGTAAGTTCGGCGGAGCCGATAGTCAGAACGTGCTGATAATGGACCCCAGTTCTACAGGGACGATGCAGCGGATACAGAGTGAAAAGAGCATCCTGGATGAACCAGACTCTCCTCTCGAGGTTAGTCAAATAAATTAGCATATCTTCTGTGCTCTTGTATCTCTTTCTGTGCTTAGTTGCAATATTTGGGAACTGAAATACGCCATTTCGTCGTTTTCAGAACCATGGACAGCATCCCACTGCCTGAATACTGAATAAGTGATGGCTGTCATATTATTCCACATGCACCGTATTTTGTCTTCAATTCCTTGTGTGTTTAAGACTCAGTGCTTCTCAAAGTGTGGTCCGCAGACCACTGGTGGTCCGTGAGCGCCCCCTAGTGGTCCGTGTGTATATTTGTAACATTTCACATTTGAAATATATAAATACATTTGAGTTTTCCGCACTCTCGCGGGAATATCTCCGCAATGGAGTGAGCTTACGTTTCACTTTCAATTGCATGATATAGCCCAGTGCAACACCTGCATCACAGATGTTGCCACTTGTTTGTACCATTTTCAGGCGATTTTTAATCTGTTCTAGAAAAACGATGTGATTTTGGATATTTGTGGAGTTAGGTGGTCCGCGAGTGTTTTTTTATTGGTTAAGTGGTCCTTGGTATGAAAAAGTTTGAGAAACACTGGTTTAAGTGAACAGAAAACTCCCTTAAAGCTTCGATTGCTTAATCACTTTTTTTCATTTATACAGACCTTGCTAATAGCACATAATGTTATAGCTTTCGGTAGAAAAACCTAGTTTATGTAGTTTTAAACACCTCAAGTTCATGTCAAAGGTTCCCTCTATTATATTATAGTTCTATTGTATAACATTTAATTAAAAATATTGGTAACTGGATATGTCGTTATCTGCACTTATATTAGAGTCAGTAGTATAGCTTTGGAGAAGGATTGTTCTCAGTATTTGATTGACTGGCTGTTTTTATTTTAAGATATTTAAATTAATTTGTGTTCATATTGAGCAGACAGAACAAGTTTTTTATTGATGGCATGTTTTTTATTGATGGCATGTTCTCATAATATACATCAATAAATATATTTTTATACAAATCATTGACATCATTATTCTCACATGGTACTTGCATTACTTGTATCTGCATGAAAGGACTTGTGCTTGCCAGCAATGTTGGCTGTTTTTAGACTTTAATCATTTCAGTGCCCTGGACAGCGACTTTTTTGGTTTCAGCTTTTCCCCCTCCATTCCTTTATTTTACATTATTTGATTATGTGAGTATTGATTTCAATCAAATCTATTTGTTTTACATTTACAGTTTATTTCAGATGTAGTTTATGTTTTCTGGAACATAGTTATATTGCTAAAGAGTCAAACAAAAGAGAGATATCTTGACCATAAAAATGTTTTTATGTGACCATTTATGTAACTTACCTCATTTCAAATCAAACATTTCCAATAAGTCTGCTGGGCAGATTGGTTGATGTTGGTTTGCTGCAGTATTCCATGGTGGACTCTTAGGGCCGCTGTTGACTAGAGTGTGTACGGCTGAGAGTAGGTCTGTAGCAGCACCTCCCATGTAACATCATCATAAAGAAGAGAGAACACGACGGCAAGACAACTGACTCGGGATGTGTTGAATATCAAAAAACTCAAGACGATATTGTAGACTTTTCTATTTACTGTGTGGAGTATTTAGCTTTGAAATTGTCGTTCGACATTGGAGTGGATTGTAATTGGTTGGATATTTACCCAAACTGTGGAATTTTGCTGAAAAAAACCAAGGATTGAACAATGAAAGGAGAAGTGCTGTTGTTCATCTCCCTCCTTTCGCTCGGCTCGGTTATTGGGCAGGTGAGCTACACAATACCGGAGGAAATGGCAAAAGGCTCTTTAGTAGGCAACATAGCACAAGATTTAGGTTTGGAAAGCAAACGTTTGACTTCTGGTAAAGCTCGAATTTATACCCGAGACAGCGACGAGTACATCGAGCTGAACAGAGAAAGAGGAATCCTCCTCGTCAAACAGAGAATCGACAGAGAGGCTCTCTGCAGACAGACGACGCCTTGTGCTTTACATTTTCAGATTATTTTGGAGAATCCTATGGAGTTTTACAGTGTTATTGTTCAAATAACAGACGTCAATGATAATGCACCCACCTTTGAAGAAAGGGAAATCCAATTCAAAATCAGCGAGTCAGCAATCACCGGAGCAAAATTCGTGCTGGAAAGAGCTGTTGATCTTGATGTTGGACTTAATGATCTTCAAAGATACGAATTAAAACCAACGGATAATTTTGCTCTGAAACTCTACAATAACGCAGATGGGAATAAAAACGTTGAGATGGTGCTACAGAAGCCTTTAGACAGAGAGAAACAAGAGCAGATATCTCTTGTGTTAACAGCTGTAGATGGAGGAGAGCCTCAGATGTCAGGGACAATGCTGATTGTTATTACAGTTTTAGACGTCAATGATAATGCCCCCGTTTTTACACAGCCCACATACAAGGCTACAATTACTGAAAACTCACCTAAAGGCACAGTTGTTGCCACTGTCACAGCTTCAGATGCAGATCACGGTTCTAATGGTAAAATAGCTTATTCAATTACAAATACGTTAGACGATGTCAGAAAAATGTTTAACATAAACAAGGAAACTGGAGATGTTACTTTAATTGGGAATATCGATTTTGAAGAATCGCGACATTTTCAAATAAATCTACGTGCTAGTGACGAGGGAGGACTCACAGATTCTTGTAAATTAGTTGTCGACGTGCAAGATGTAAATGACAATAAGCCAGACATTAACATAATGTCGAAGTCAAATGTGATATCGGAGGATGCCAAACTCGACACAGTCGTTACAATGATAAATATTGACGACAAAGACACTGGAGAAAACGGAAAAGTGCAATGTTTTATAAACGAAAATATACCATTCACTTTAAAGACATCCGCTAATGATTTTTATAGATTAGTTACAGATAGTGAGTTAGACAGAGAGAGATCCTCTGAGTATAATATAACAGTGACGTGCTCTGATGAGGGAGTGCCCTCCCTTTCCAGCAGCGTCACTCTCACCTTACAGATCTCTGATGTGAATGATAACGCGCCTGTCTTTGAGAGCAGCTCATATGAGGCCTATATTGTAGAAAACAACACACCAGGCCTCTCTATATTCACAGTGAGAGCCAGAGACGCTGACTGGAACCAGAATGCCCGTGTTTCCTACATCCTGGAGGACTCCTCTGCTAACGGAGTGCCAGTCTCCTCTTATGTGTCTGTTAGTGCTGATAGTGGAGTCATCCATGCAGTGCGCTCTTTTGACTACGAGCAGATCAAAGACTTCCACTTCCGGGTCAAAGCACAGGATGGAGGCTCTCCTCCACTTAGTAGCAATGTGACTGTGAAAATACTGATCCAGGACCAGAACGACAACCCTCCTCAGGTCCTGTACCCAGTCCAGACTGGTGGCTCTCTGGTGGCTGAGATGGTGCCTCGTTCAGCAGATGTGGGCTATCTGGTCACTAAAGTGGTGGCTGTTGATGTGGACTCTGGACAGAATGCCTGGCTCTCCTATAAACTGCAGAAAGCCACAGACAGGGCGCTGTTTGAAGTGGGCTTACAGAATGGAGAAATAAGGACTATCCGCCAGGTGACTGATAAAGATGCTGTGAAACAAAGACTGACTGTTATAGTGGAGGACAACGGGCAGCCCTCTCGTTCAGCTACAGTCATTGTTAACGTGGTGGTGGCGGACAGCTTCCCGGAAGTGCTGTCTGAGTTCACTGACTTTACACAGGACAAGGAGTACAATGACAACCTGACTTTTTACTTAGTGCTGGCTCTGGCTGTAGTGTCCTTCCTCTTCATCACGTGTTTAGTGGTTATTATATCAGTGAAGATCTACAGGTGGAGACAGTCTCGCATCATGTGTCACTCCAATCTCCCTGTGATTCCATATTATCCTCCACGTTACTCAGACACTTTGGGGACAGGGACTCTCCAACACGTGTACAATTACGAGGTGTGCAGGACGACTGACTCCAGAAAGAGTGACTGTAAGTTCGGCAGAGCCAGTCAGAACGTGCTGATAATGGACCCCAGTTCTACAGGGACGATGCAGCGGATACAGAGTGAAAAGAGCATCCTGGATGAACCAGACTCTCCCCTAGAGGTTAGAAACTGTACATATCATAATATATCCCTTTTAAGAACTTAAACATTGTTCTATTGCATGCATTTCACTCACTTGGTGGCTCTCAGTAGCAACTAAAAAGAGAAAGTTAATTAAAGCCTGAGATGTTAAGTTATTACCACATGTTTACTCAGCACCATGGACAGTGAGACTTAACGCTGACAACAGTATAGTACCCATGTGCTGTTTTCTCGTTTAGCCTATGCTGCATACCTCCTATTCGTGTACACTTTGGTTAAAAAAAGATAATGTATTCATTTTTCATTCAAATATGTGAAAATATCACTTCAGGTAATTATTATCAAACAATATATATTGGAAAATATCATTATGCCAAGTAAATGGCAAGGTTTTTTTCTGATTTTACATCCTCTTGATCATCAGTGTAACTCTGCATTACACTGGTGTTGTTTCATATCACTTGTTGTAGTTTGTATTTTCAACTCAGAGGGTCGCTATTGGCAAGCGTGTTGCGTATTGGAGCTTATCTTTTTCTGTCTGTCCTGCCCATTCGTGTATATTACACGGGTGTCTCAACCGGAGAAAGACGGAACAAACAGTCTGCGCTTATAGGGAGCCCTGAGAGGATTTACATCTCTGGATGCTTTGTTTTTCCTACTAAAGTTGGAGTGTGGACGGTTTTTCTTGATTTCTACTTTGGCATTGACTGAATCGGGATGTATTTGTTTTAACGGTGCAGGAAACGATTCCAGGCAGAACAATGAGACGGCAAGTACTGTTGTTTCTCTCGCTGCTATGCCTCAGCTACGTGATCGGGCAGGTCAGTTATTCCATCCCCGAAGAAATGTCGAAAGGCTCTGTCGTTGGTAACATAGCCCAGGATTTAGGTTTAGATCTTAAAAGGCTGAAATCAGGTAAAGCTCGTGTCTATACAGGAGGCAGCGTAGAATACATCGGGCTGAATAAAGAAAGAGGAGTCCTTCTCATTCAGGAGAGAATAGACAGAGAGGCTTTGTGCGGAGAGACGACGCCTTGTGCTTTACATTTCCAGTTAATTCTGGAAAATCCAATGGAAATGTTTCGTGTAACAGTGGAGATCACCGACATAAATGATAATACCCCCAGTTTTACAAATGCAGAAAAACGATTTGAAATCAGTGAGTCCGCTGTCATAGGATCGAAATTTGTATTAGAAAAAGCAGTTGATTCTGACAATGGAATGAATAGCTTACAACGATACTCACTTACTCCTTCTGATAACTTTGTATTAAAACCTGGAATTCAGGCAGGGGGAAGTAAGAAGGTCGAGATGGTTTTACAGAAGCCTCTAGACAGAGAAAAGCAGGAACATATTTCACTTTTGTTAACCGCTATAGATGGAGGAGAGCCGCAGTTGTCAGGGACAATGCAGATATTTGTAAATGTATTAGATGCAAATGACAACGCACCTACATTCGCTAAACCTCTGTATAGAGCAAAAATACTAGAAAATTCTCCTAAAGGCACCAGCGTAACGACTGTAAGTGCTTCAGATAAAGACATCGGCTCAAACAGAGAAGTGTCATATTTGATATCTACCAGTCAAAGTGTTTTATCTGAAATGTTTAGGATTAATTCAAAAACTGGTGAAATTGTGCTAATTGGTGAAATAGATTATGAAAAAGCCAAGATTTATGAAATGGATGTTGAAGTTGTAGACAGTGGGGGACTCTCTGATTCCACTAAAGTATTACTAGATGTTATTGATATAAATGACAACAATCCTTACATGAACATTGTTTCTAAATCAGAGACGGTATTCGAGGACTCACCTCCTAATACTGTTATAGCTATGTTAAGTGTAAATGATCCAGATTCAGAGAATAATGGAGAGGTAGAGTGTAATATAGATGCTAACATTCCCTTCAAAATACAATCTACATTAAATGGATTTTATACTTTAGTTACAGAGGTCTCTTTAGACAGAGAGATAGCTTCTCAGTATAATATAACAGTGACGTGCTCTGATGAGGGAGTGCCCTCCCTCTCCAGCAGCGTCACTCTCACCTTACAGATCTCTGATGTGAATGATAACTCGCCTGTCTTTGAGAGCAGCTCATATGAGGCCTACATTGTAGAAAACAACAAACCAGGCCTCTCTATATTCACAGTGAGAGCCAGAGACGCTGACTGGAACCAGAATGCCCGTGTTTCTTACATCCTGGAGGACTCCTCTGCTAACGGAGTGCAAGTCTCCTCTTATGTGTCTGTTAGTGCTGATAGTGGAGTCATCCATGCAGTGCGCTCTTTTGACTACGAGCAGATCAAAGACTTCCACTTCCGGGTCAAAGCACAGGACGGAGGCTCTCCTCCACTGAGTAGCAATGTGACTGTGAAAATACTGATCCAGGACCAGAACGACAACCCTCCTCAGGTCCTGTACCCAGTCCAGACTGGTGGCTCTCTGGTGGCTGAGATGGTGCCTCGATCAGCAGGTGTGGGCTATCTGGTCACTAAAGTGGTGGCTGTTGATGTGGACTCTGGACAGAATGCCTGGCTCTCCTATAAACTGCAGAAAGCCACAGACAGGGCGCTGTTTGAAGTGGGCTTACAGAATGGAGAAATAAGGACTATCCGCCAGGTGACTGATAAAGATGCTGTGAAACAAAGACTGACTGTTATAGTGGAGGACAACGGGCAGCCCTCTCGTTCAGCTACAGTCATTGTTAACGTGGTGGTGGCGGACAGCTTCCCGGAAGTGCTGTCTGAGTTCACTGACTTTACACAGGACAAGGAGTACAATGACAACCTGACTTTTTACTTAGTGCTGGCTCTGGCTGTAGTGTCCTTCCTCTTCATCACGTGTTTAGTGGTTATCATATCAGTGAAGATCTACAGGTGGAGACAGTCTCGCATCATGTTTCACTCCAATCTCCCTGTGATTCCATATTATCCTCCACGTTACTCAGACACTTTGGGGACAGGGACTCTCCAACACGTGTACAATTACGAGGTGTGCAGGACGACTGACTCCAGAAAGAGTGACTGTAAGTTCGGCGGAGCTGGTAGTCAGAACGTGCTGATAATGGACCCCAGTTCTACAGGGACGATGCAGCGGATACAGAGTGAAAAGAGCATCCTGGATGAACCTGACTCTCCTCTAGAGGTGAGGTGCAATGTGCAAAGTCTTTACTTCTTGAATATAGTTTATCTGGATAAATAGTATTTGGTTACAGTTTATTTTTGAGAACAGGGGCAAGCGGTCAGTTTCAGCACCATATGGTGGACAGCTTCTCTTTTAGTGAAAAAGCTTTCTGTTCCGAAGAGCTTCAACTTCCTTAAATGTCACCTTTTTTTCATGCTGAATATATTGGCTATATAATAATAATAAAATAATAATAATAATAATAATAATAACAGCAGCAATGGGAACGTCTCTCAGCATTTCCAAATATACATTTACCTTACCAGTTAGGTTGTTGGAATTATAATTTGTTGTGTTGTTGTTATTAATATGTTTGTGTTTTTTGAGGTCTAAAGTCAGAAACCATCCCATTATATATCGATATGCATCCAAACGATTGTATTATAATATTAAAACTGTTCATAATATTTAAACCACCACATACATTACCGTGGATGGGCTCTGAGCGCCGCTCTTGATACATCACTGACCTACTGTCAAAATAAGCAGTGCAGTGGTCCACCCCTTTATTCCCATTCAGTTTTTTGCTGCTTAGAGAGAAGACGATGTGGCCTGTGAGGATTTAAAGAGCAGCATTTATCGTGGACATTTCTGCTGAAAACAGAGTTACTATTCAATTCATGGATTTATTCACATCAGTTTTGCATTGAAAGGGATTTCTGCGTCTGTTCCTCTGGATTTATGATGGCTTGTTTGTGGATACCCGCGCGCAGAGGCCGATGGCAAGCACTGTTTGTGACTCTTTGTCTGTTCGAGCTGAGCTCAGTAGCTGGACAGGCTCGGTACTCCGTACCGGAAGAGCAGGCAGAAGGCTCTTTTGTTGGAAACATCGCTAGAGATTTAGGTTTGGATGTGACGAGGCTCATATCAGGTAAAGCTCGTATTATTACCAAAGGAAGCCGACAGTACGTTGATTTAAACCGAGATAAAGGCAGCCTTGTTATTAAAGAACGAATCGACCGAGAAGAGCTGTGTGGAAAGACGACGCCCTGTAGCTTCAGTTTCGAGCTCATTTTAGAAAACCCAATCCAGCTTTACCGTGTAACAGTGGAGGTTATAGATATAAATGATAACAGTCCGTCGTTTCCAAAGGAAGATATCAATTTAAAAATTGTAGAAAATGCTGCAGCGGGCACACGCTTCTCTTTGGTTAGTGCTGACGACCCGGATGTTGGAATAAATGACATTCAAAAATACATACTTAAACCCTCGGTTCACTTCAAATTGGAAGTGCAGATCCAGCCTGATGGAGTACAATTCATCGAAATGGTTTTACAAACCCCGTTAGACCGGGAGAAAGAGGAGACTCACCATCTCGTGCTGATTGCTTCAGATGGAGGGGAGCCACACAGATCAGGGACAGTGCGCATTCACATCACTGTGCTGGATGCTAACGATAATGCGCCAGTGTGCAGCCAGCCTGTTTATAAAGCAGAAGTCAATGAAAACTCTCCTACAGGAACAGTGGTTACCTCTGTGAGTGCAACTGATTCAGATAAAGGAGTCAATGGTGAAGTAACTTATTCCATCCCTCATCTCGCCAAAGAAGCGAAAAAGCTTTTTGACGTAAATATTAAAACAGGAGAAATTAAAGTTGCAGGCAATCTGGATTTTGAAAAATCTAAGACTTATCAATTAAACGTTCAGGCTAGTGACCACGGTGGATATTCAGATACGTGCAAAGTTGTTATTCAAATTATTGATGAGAATGACAACGTTCCTACAATTCAGCTGATGTCATTTTCTAACTCTATATCTGAGGATTCTCCTCCAGGTACAACTATAGCTGTTATTAATGTTGATGATGAAGACTCTGATGGTAACGGTGTTGTAAAGTGCTCAATAAACTCTGATATACCTTTCAAAATGGAGTCTTCATTAACAGGATATTATACTTTAGTAACTGAAGACTACTTAGACAGAGAAAGTATTCCGGAATATAATATCACCATCACCGTCTCTGACCAAGGCTCCCCGCCTCTGACCAGCAGTAAAAACATAAATATAAAAGTTTCTGATGTGAATGACAGCCCGCCCATATTTGATCAATCAGAATACAGTAAGACTTTACCGGAGAATAACTCTCCGGGGTTTTCTGTTTTTACTCTGAGTGCTAGTGATGCAGACTGGGGTCAAAACGCTCGTGTGTCTTACTTTCTGGAGGAGAAAGAGATTAATGGGGCAGCTGTGACTTCGTTAGTCTCAGTCAATTCAGAAAATGGGGTCATTCATGCAGTGAGGTCCTTTGATTATGAGCAGATCAAGTGGTTTGAATTTAACATAACTGCTCGCGATGCTGGATCCCCTCCTCTGAGTTCAGTGACCACAGTTAAAATACTGATCCAGGACCAGAACGACAACCCCCCTCAGATCCTGTACCCAGTCCAGACTGGTGGCTCTCTGGTGGCTGAGATGGTGCCTCGATCAGCAGATGTGGGCTACCTGGTCACTAAAGTGGTGGCTGTTGATGTGGACTCTGGACAGAATGCCTGGCTCTCCTATAAACTGCAGAAAGCCACAGACAGGGCGCTGTTTGAAGTGGGCTTACAGAATGGAGAAATAAGGACTATCCGCCAGGTGACTGATAAAGATGCTGTGAAACAAAGACTGACTGTTATAGTGGAGGACAACGGGCAGCCCTCTCGTTCAGCTACAGTCATTGTTAACGTGGTGGTGGCTGACAGCTTCCCGGAAGTGCTGTCTGAGTTCACTGACTTTACACAGGACAAGGAGTACAATGACAACCTGACTTTTTACTTAGTGCTGGCTCTGGCTGTAGTGTCTTTCCTCTTCATCATGTGTTTAGTGGTTATTATATCAGTGAAGATCTACAGGTGGAGACAGTCTCGCATCATGTTTCACTCCAATCTCCCTGTGATTCCATATTATCCTCCACGTTACTCAGACACTTTGGGGACAGGGACTCTCCAACACGTGTACAACTATGAGGTGTGCAGGACGACTGACTCCAGAAAGAGTGACTGTAAGTTTGGCACAGCCCGGAGTCAGAACGTGCTGATAATGGACCCCAGTTCTACAGGGACGATGCAGCGGATACAGAGTGAAAAGAGCATCCTGGATGAACCGGACTCTCCTCTAGAGGTTAGACTGATTTAATACCGTTTCAGTGTCTAATGTATTATTTAAATGTCATTAATTGCACTATTTTCCCTTTGAGTAACAAACAAATGCTCGTACCACGTTATTTGCAATGTTGCCCTCAGTGACCGACAATTTGGGATTCACATGATTATTCCCCAAAATAAATGGCCCTATACATTACATCTTCAACCCATGTCCTTGAAGGAAACGATGTGTTAGGTTCTGGTTATATTTGTTTTATAATAGCAATAATAATAATACAATTTCCATAATCAGCAGTAACATTAGTAGCCTCGTTGTAGTATTATTGGTAGTCGAGGGATAAACTCTCAAGAAGAATTATTGCAATGAAAAATTGTATTGATAGTTTCTAGATATGTCATCCCTGAGGCATCTCATATTTGAAAACAGCTTGAGCAGTCTTGGAACTTTTCCATAATTTGAAGGTGGTTTGTGTCAGCACTGCGGACAGCGACATACACAGTTCACCCGCATGTTTATCCTCTGTCAGTGGCTGTTTCCACATTTTTATCGTCGGTCTTGTTGTTTGTTCTTCGTGTTATTGTTCAGTTATCATTATTTAGAGAAATCATTTTCCCTTTTGATCTTTCATTTAGATTTTAGATTTACCCCAATCTCTGAAACATAGATGTTTCATGATAGACACGATGTCCATCCTTTATTTTGCATCCTTCTTCTTCAAATATATTATTGAACTACCATAAACGGTGCACATGATGCATTCTCATGATATGTGTTTGTTGTCGTTGGTTAAATCAAAGATGCTGTATAACTAAAGTAGACCCATTGTAGTTCGATTTCCGGATGCAGTGCAGTGTGTTCTCCTGAGCTGAATTTTAGTCGGTGTTCTGCAGTTTTCCAGTATGGACTCTTAGGGCCGCTGTTGACCAGAGGGTTGGTGGTTACAGCACGTTGTATCAGCACCTCCCATGTAACAGCGTCACAGTACAAAGAGATCACGACGGACAAACACGGAGGATTCCGTTTTGGAGATATTCTTTTGAAATATAAAAGGAGAGATTTTTGTTTGCAAGCCGTTTGCTTTAAATGATTTGGATATGCTGCTTTTCTTTTGAGATTTGACATTGGAATCTGAGAGTCTCTGTTTTTTGTATGGATATAAGCAACACTGTGGAACAAAACGGATAGAACAATGAATCGGCAAGTACTGCTGTTTATTTCTGTCCTTTCCCTCGAATATGTTTTCGGGCAGGTCAGCTACTCCATTCCGGAGGAAATGGCAAAAAGCTTTTTAGTGGGCAATATAGCGCAAGATTTGGGTTTGGATAAAAAGCGTTTGATATCAGGCAAAGCTAAGATCTATACGAGGAATAGCGATGAGTACATCGAGCTGAACACAGAAAGAGGAGTCCTTCTCGTGAAACAGAGAATCGACAGAGAGGTGCTGTGTACAGAGACCGCACTTTGCGCTTTACATTTTCAGATTATTTTGGAAAATCCTATGGAGTTTTACAGTGTTACTGTACAGATAACAGATATCAATGATAACGCACCAACCTTTGAAAAAAACGAAATGACATTTAAAATAAGTGAGTCCGCGGTGATCGGGGCAAAATTCGTGCTTGAACGAGCTGTTGATCTTGATGTTGGAAATAATGGTGTTCAAAGATACGAATTAAAACCAACGGATAATTTTGCTCTGAAAATCCACAATAACGCAGATGGGAATAAAAACGTCGAGATGGTGCTACAGAAGCCTTTAGACAGAGAGAAACTAGAGCAGATATCTCTTGTGTTAACGGCTGTGGACGGAGGAGAGCCGCAGATGTCAGGAACAATGCTGATTATTATTACAGTTTTAGATGCTAATGATAATGCCCCCGTTTTTACACAGCCCACATACAAGTCTGCAGTAACTGAAAACTCACCTAAAGGCACAGTTGTTGCCACTGTCACAGCTTCAGATGCAGATCAGGGTTCTAATGGAAGAATCATTTATTCAATCACAAATACGTTGGAAAATGTAAGGAAGGTATTTGAGGTGAATGAGCAAAACGGCGAAGTTTCATTGATCGGAAATATTGACTTTGAAAAGTCAAGACACTTTCAAATGAATTTACTTGCTAGTGACGAGGGAGGACTCACAGATTCTTGCAAATTAATTGTTGATGTGCAAGATGTAAATGACAACAAGCCTGAAATTAACATAATGTCGAAGTCAAATGTGATATCAGAGGATGCCGAACTCA